CCTCAGGATGAATCTTTAATCAGGCTCAGATCAAGGAATTTCCCGGGAATAACCAAAGCCAGACTTTGTTTATTGCTCGGGATCGGAGCTCCCGCCTTGACCCCRGCCGGGGCTCCAGGGCCGTGCTGAAGGCATTACCTCCCAGTATTCCAGGATTAAACTGGGATTAGGGATCCTGTTCGTGTAAGCTGCTCTGCCTGAGGAGGAGGAAAACCCTGCCATGGAAAAAACCTAGATGGATGGAGCAGAAAGGTCGGGAAATCATTCATAGGGTGGGAATGCTGAACCAAATATTCCATGGATGGGTTTGGTCCTAGGGAAGCAGAGCTGGAGAGGGATGGGAATGCTCCAGGGTCATGGCCAGGACATCCTTAGGAGGGAAATGATGGAAAAATAAGGACAGGTTTCCCAGAGAAGCTGTGGATGGATCCCTGGAATGGGAATTGGAATGACCTGGGATAGTGGGAGRGGTTGGAATGGGATAGGATTTGAGGGTTAGGAGGAAAAATTCGGAGCCCAGGGTYTGGGAACTAAAAGAAATTGGGAGTTCAGATTTAGGACAGAAAATCAGGATTTCAGGGTTTGGGAGTGAAACTTAGGATCACGGTTTTAGGAGCAAAAATTAGGAGTCCAGGGTTTAGGAGGAAAAATTGGGACCCCAGATTTGGGAGGAAAAATCAGGAGTCCAAATTTAGGAATGTAACTAAGAAGCACAAGGTTCAGGAGCAAAACTTTGGGCAAAAATTCGGACTCTAAGGTCTGGAAGGAAAAATCTGGAGCTAAGATTTGGGAGGAAAAATCCAGAGYTTGAGGTTTAGAAATAAAGATTAGGAGTGGAGAGTTCAGAAGTAAAGATTTGGAGCCCAGGATTTGGGAACAATCATTAGGAGTCAATATTTTGGAGTAAAAATGAGGATCCCAGGGTTTGGGAGGAAAAATTAGGAGCCCGAAATTTAGGAACAAAACTTTAGGATCCCAGACTTAGGAACAAAAATTTGGAGCCCAGGGTTTAGGAGTAAAGATAAATAGCCCAGGATTTGGGAAGAAAAACGAGGAATCCAAGGTTCAGGAGCAAAAACTGGAAGCAAAAATTAGGACCCAAAGGTCTGGGAATTAAAATTGGGRTTCCAGAGTGCAAAGGGCTGGAAAAAGCCTGGAAATGGCTGGGAAATCTAAGGAGTAGGGAAATTTGGAAGTTGGAAACTCCAGCAATCCCTCGGAGCTGCTGGCGACACCAGGAGCATCCCGGCTCCGGCCCATCCTGGCACTCCGTTCCCACTTGTCAGCTCCAAGCAGCTGAGGATATTCCCAACTTATCCCTCCTTTGCATAATTCCCAAGGATGGAGCCGATTGCCTCTCCCAGGGCTGATGGATGGGAGCCGACAGCGTCTCTTCCCATTAGGATTATTTATGGAGCATTAACACCRGGATGGCTCTGGCAGCTCCTGATTCCTTGGAATGATCAGCCTTTTCCCAAGTGTGCCGGAGTTAGGGAATGGAGGAAAAGCCAGSGATGAGGGCATTCATCAGCATTGAGTTCCTACAGATGGGAGAATTCCCACCAGGAATGAAGGTTGGGATGGGATTTTAAGAAAAAGGCGGAATTCTGGCTAAGGGCAGCTTGGCTGGAATATGGAAATAATTCCTYGTGACTCTGGGACACTCAAAGGCACTTCAATGGTTCTTGGGCACAAATCCATRGATGGGAATGTCCTGGAATGCTTTGGGTGGGAAGGGACATTGAATCCCATCCCATTCCAGCCATTCCATGGGCAGGGACAGCTCCTGCTATCCCTGATGCTCCAAGCCCCRTCCAACCTGGCCTTGGACATTCCAGGGATCCAAAAACAGCCACAGCTGCTCTGGGAATTACAGCCCAGACAGGAATTCTGTCCCAATATCCCAATAACCAATCTTCCTTTCTTGCTTGCTTCCTTCGTTCCTTAATTCCTTCCTARATTCCCAGATTCCAAAATTCCTTCTTTTCTCCTTTCCAGTCTCCCCAGTGGCTTGGGCAGGGAAGCTCCCGGAGTCACTTCCTGTTCTCTGTGGGGAGAATACCCCGTGGAAAATCCAGGAAAAACACTGATCCCGGTTTCCTCACGTCCCTGGAATTCTGTCTTCATTCCTCACGGAGCAGAGACATTCCCAAATGGGATGGGGGATTTTCCTGCTAGATTCAGATCTTTCTGATCCATAAATTTATCGCAAGTATGGAAAGGGCACGACCTTTCCCTGTTMATTTTGTTCTAATGAGGGAAAGAGCATTCCCGACTGGAATTTTGGGATGTGACCGAAGCCCGAAGGAATCAGTGGGATGAAAATGGGGGAGGAGGCAAGAAGAGGCAGATCCATTCCACCCCGGGATTGACTCCGGAGAGGAGTGATCCCCTTTCCATGGAACGGGATCAAAGGAAATGCCCCGGGCTGGGAATGAGCTGGAATTCGGGGCTGATCCAGAGGACGCTTTTCCATGGTTTGCCAGCCATGGATTCCTCACTCAACCGAAAAAAAGGGATGGGAATTCCAGTGCCACACTGACATCTCCTGGAAGAAGCGCTCGTTACAATCACGGCACTCCACGGACAGATTTTTGGGATAAAGGCCTGGATTTCGCTGCCCACTCTGTCCTGATAAACCTGGCTTTGGATAAAGTGGAAATTTTCCTGGAATTAAAGGGATCAGAGTGAGTCTGGGATCTGCTGGAGAAAACCTGGAGGAGTCCCCAGAGCTGCAAATCCAACACTTCACCTCCAACATGTGGGGCAGGAGAAAAGGGAATTAAATTATAATGAAAATTAAAAAAAAAATAAATAATTAAAAAAAAAAGTAATTAAAAATAAAAAAAAAAACCAAAATTACCATAAGAATTGTGGTGGAGCAGGTGGAGTTATCCCAGCCCGGCATCCTTTGGATACCTTTGGAAGAGCACCCAGCCCAAATTCATGGATAATTTCTCCTCATTTGGATTTTGCTGTTTTTTCCATCCCCTCTGCATCTGCAGATGGCGGCTCTGAGTGTTTGGAAAGGCTCTGTTGACATTGGGATACAGCAGGAATGCCGATTGGATAACATTAATTCCTCATTATTGGGAAACTCATTTGCATCCCAGGAATTTATTAAAAAGAGGGATCTGTGTTTAGAGAAGAGGTGGGAGCGTCGGGGAGGGGGAAAAGCAGGAATATGGGAGCTCCTTCCCACTGTTTATTAACACAGCAGACACAGGAATGAACATTCCAGAGGGAAGAATTCCCACTGCAATCAAACGTTTGGATTGGCCAGGCTGGAGTAAATATTTACTTTGCCTCATTTTCCAATGGAATTTCTCCAAGTGGACATGGAATTGTGTTTTCCAAGTGCCTGTGGAATTGTTTTCTAGTGCCTGTGGAATTGTTTTCCAGCTCTCTTCAGATCTGATTCCACAGCCAACCTTTTCTCTGATCACTGAAATATCGGGATTATGTTTAAAATATTATTATGATCCAATTTTTTTTTGCTTTGGACACATCCAAGGATGGGGCAGGCACAGGTGGGATATTGGGAAGGAATTCCTGGCTGGGATGGAATTCCCAGAGGAGCTGTGGCTGCCCCTGGATCTCTGGAATACCCAAGGCCAGGTTGGAGCACCCTGGGATAGAGGGATCTGATTTAAGATCCCTCCAACCCAAACCATTCCATGATTCCATGAAATTCCCGACTCCAGCCAAGCCCTGCCCCTCCCTCCTCCCGGCAAGGCCGGATCCRCCTTTCCCAGGTTTGTTTGCTCTCAGGATTGACCTTTCCCAGGATAACAGGGATTGACCTTTMCTGGGAAAACGGGGTTTGCGGGAGCTGTTTGCTCAGTGTTTTAACAACTTCCGCCTTCCACAGGAAGAATTCCAGGGAAAACACAGATCTGGGAAAAGGCTGGGAAAGATCCACCTGGCCTGAGACGGCAGGGATATAAAAAGGAGCATTTGGGGAGCTAAATCAGAATTCCTGTTGCTTTTCCAGACATTTCCTGCATCCAAACCTTCTCCATGCAAAGCTCTGAGCACCAATCCCTCGTGTATCCCAGTTTTCCTAAGGAACACTTCCAGTAGGACTTCTCCCATTACCGCAGTAGTCGAATCTAAATCCAGGATGTGTTTGTTCCTCATTCATGGATTCATTATTTTCATTCCTTTAGATCCCACAAATCTGAGCCTTTCCAAATGTTTTCCCCCATTTCCAGCAATTATCCCAATCCATCCACAGGGAAGCAGCAAACGGCAGAAAGGGGACTGGGACCAGGGAAGCAGTGATTCCAAGGGGGSTATTCCAAGGARTATTCCAGGCTGGGCATATTCCAARGAGAGGAGCCRYTCCYGGTCCCAMYCCAAAGCCCGTGTCCCACCAGGAAAGGCTCGGGATGCAGCGCCATTCCCGGCGGTGCTCCCACCCCACCTAGCGGTGCTCCGGGAGAGCTGCTTCCCAGGGATCGGGCCGGGAGCTGCCCCTGGAGCTCATGGAATTCTTTAGGGGTGGAAAAACCTCTCCCTTGCCCCCCTCTGGTTGAAGCCAGGCTGGGAGAGCTGGGAATGTTCCCCYGGAAAAGGGAAGGATCCAGGGAATCCTCGGAGCCCCCTCCAGGGCCTAAAGGGGCTCCAKGAGAGCTGGAGAGGGACTGGGGACAAGGGATGGAGRGACAGGACACAGGGAATGGCTTCCCACTGGGAAAGGGGAGACTGGGGTGGGATCTTGGGAAGGAATTCCTGGCTGAGAGGGTCTGGGCTGGAATTCCCAGAGAAGCTGTGGCTGCCCCTGGATCACTGGACKGCCCAAGGCCAGGTTGRAGCACCCTGGRATAATGGGAAGTGTCCCTGTCCTTGGAATGGCTGGAATAGGATCATCTCCAAGTTTTTCCCAAACCAGGCCCTTTTGGGATGTGGTGATTCCAAACCTTAGGAAGAACAGCTTTTCCTTAGGCTGGAATTCCTCAAATCCAGGCAATCCCATAAAATGCCCCCAAATCAACTCTGCAGACCTGAAGCTGAAATTGTCCCARTCCTGTCTCTGGATCCAAGCAGATTCCAGGATTGAACACCTGGAATGATCCCAAAAAAATCCCATGCTTGTGCAAAAATCTGGGATGAGCCCTCAGCATTCCCTAAATCCCAGGAGGAGRGTATGGAATAAAAGGATTTATTGAACACGTTTGCAGGGACACACACACATTCCCACCCCACCCGTGAGGAAATCCCACTTCTCCCTCAATTCCCAGATGGAAAACATTCCATCATTTCCTTGCATGCCCAAGCAGGTTGGATGTTGAACCCCCACTAAATTCCAAGCRGGATTTTGGGGACTCTGGACTGTCCTGACARCTCCTTCMCACTTGAAATATTCCAAATTCATCCTTTCCAGCAGAAATCCRTCTTCCCAAGCTTTTCCTGGTTCCGATAAAATTGGGAATGGCCAAAAACACCCTTAAAGTGCTCGACTGCAGCTCCACAATGGCTGCACTTGAGGCTGCTCCAGAGGGAGGCCCCGGAAAGAGGGCATGACCAAGAAAGATGGATTTGGGACCGAAAAACTGGGAAAAAGCTGGGAAAAGCTCCAAGAGAAAAGCCTTGTGGTTCTATCTCTAAGGATACAGAATTCCAGAGGGACCTTCAGGACTTCCTGGAATCTGTGGAAAAGGACACATCCATCCGTAACTTCTTTGGGATCACCCATGGAAGCGCTTCCCAGCTTCTCTAAAAAACCTCCCAGCATGAGCACAAAGCAGTTCCTGAGGAACAGTGGCAGCAGGGAATTCCTCAGGCTGGGAAAATCCRCGATTCCAGCGGGACAAGGTCAGGGCTTCCTGCGCCTGAAACGGGAAAGAGCCACAAAGAACTCTCAGGGTYCATGCAGAGGAATTTTGGGAGTGGCCGACACCCCATTCCCAGGTTTTTCCACCCCCAAATCCCACACCTCCTGAAAAACCCAACATGTAATCCAAGGAATCTCAGAAGTCCTCTTTTCCTTGGATTTTTAGGCAGTGGGAGCATCGCACCAAGTTGGATTCCAATCCTTCAATTCCCTCTTCCCMCAGGGAATTGGAATCCTGAGAAAATTTGCCAATGAATCCAATGAGCATTCCTTGCTTTCGGCATCTGGGAAAGGGAATCCAGGGCATTCCCACAGTCATTCCTGACCCCATTCCACTGGGGAATGCAAGCCAAAAGTGGGAAGCRCAGCAAATCCAGGGGGGAAATATTCCCTGAGTTTGGAAGTTACCAGAAAAGGAGAAGCAGCATTGCAGGAGCACTTCCATGGACTGAGCATGGAGCTGGAATTCCCAGGGATGCCTTATTAGTAATGTGGGAAAGAGGGAATTCTCCATGCTTCCTTCCTGGTTCCATAATTATTAGCTGGAATRTGAGCTGTGGGAAGGAATTCCACCCCCAATCCCTCTTCCCTGTTTCACAGGGAGTTGGAATCCTGAGAAACAGGAATTTCCCAATGGATCAAATGAGCATTCCTTGCTCTCAACATCTGGGAAGGGGGCAGGAGAAGGGATCCAGGGCATTCCCACAGCCATTTCCAACCCTATTCCACTTGGGAATGCAAACCAAAAGCAGAAAGGGCAGCAAAGGCATGGGGGAAAACATTCCCAACATTTCAGAGTTGACAGGAAGAATTCCAGGAGCACTCACTTGGGCTGGGCGTGGTGCTCGTATCCCGGTCCCAGAGCCGATCCCGCCCTCATCTCCACGGCCACGGAACACTGGGAATACACCCAAAGTCAGGATCCACTCTTCCCACCATTCCCAGCTCCCGGCATTATCCCAAATTCTCATCCAGAACAGCTTTGGGCTCCCCTGGATCCCTGGAATATCCAAGGCSGGGTTGGCTGGAGCAGCCTGGGATAGTGGGAGCTGGCCCCGCCCATGGAAAGGCTGGAATGGGATGAGTTCCGTGTCCTTCCCATCCAGCCCATCCCRAATTCCAGGATCAGGGATGAGACATTCCCTTTTCCCTCCCAGCTCACCCTGGTTTCCACGTCTGTCCATTCCGAGTCYGCAGTGTCCCCAGCAGGATCGGGATCAGGAGGGGACGAGCGGCGCTTCCGCCTGGATGAGGAAAATGTGGGAACAGAACACAAACYCATGGAATTAAGGACATTCCCAGAAAAAAGAGAACACTTTTTATTCTTCCTGGATAAATCTTGGATTTGGCAGCATCTCTAGCTTCCCTGAATTTCTCCAAGCTGCATTTCTAGGATTCCAAGTTGGATTTTCCTGTTGCACCATCTGATCATCTGGCAGTTCCACATGCACTCCCTGAATTCCGCGATTCCAGACGCTGAAATGAAAGGTTCCATGACAGGAACCTTTGGAATTCCAGAATTCCTGAAGCTCAACTCACCCCGTGGGAGATTCCTGCTTGAGGGTCTCGATGTCTGTGAACTGCACAGCCTGGCCACCGCCCCGAGTCTGGATAACGTCCCCCTGGAATGGGGACGCGGAAAAGCGGAATTGGGACAGGAACAATGCCGGGATTCATCCCCAGAATTCCAGAGCGAGGAGAGGGGGACAGAAACAGGCGCTTCCCATTTCTCTTTCCCTTTTGCCACAGGAAAACGTGTAAGTTGTGGAATTCCACAGATCATGGGATCCCAAAAATCATCTGTGAATTGTGGAACCCACAAAAATAGGGGAATCTGCAAGTCATGGGATTCCACAAACCATGGGATCATGGAATTGTTGTTGGAAAACAACAATTTTAGGATGATCCAACCATCAGTGCAGCACTAAAGGCTGTCCCCAGGTGCCACATCCATGGGATTTTTAATGGGATCCCCCCCAGAGATGGGGATTCCATCACAGCCCTGCTCCTTAYTTTCAGGGAATCCTGGAATCCCTGAGGTTGGAAAAGATCTCCAGGAYCATCAGATTCAACATGGATTCACCCTGCCCAGAGCTCTGAGTGTCACATTCAGGAATTCCCTGGACACCTCTAGGGATGGGAACTCCAAACCTCCCTGGGCAGTTCCAATGCCTGACCACCCTTTTCCATGAAAACATTCCTGATGGAAAATGCTGAGATGAACCAGCCTGGAACAGTTTCGAGCACARAGCAACCGTGCTCAAGCCAAGAATTCCCAAGGAGAACCCAACTGTGGTTGCCCCAAATGGAACACCGGCGATTCTGATGTCGCATTCCCATTCCTATTCTCTTCCCATTCCCACGGCCATTCCCATTCCTGAGGCTCACCTTGAAGAGCTTGGTGCGGATCTCGCCGTCRGAGGCCAGCTCCTGGTGGGTGAGCAGGTAGCGGTCACATCGTGCCAGCGCCCGCTCGCTGGGGGCRCCCACCGTGATGGCCTTGGGCACGTGCGGCTGCAGCAGCGTCTCCGTGGGGATGTTCGTCGGGGGCCGGTGATCCACCCAGCGCTCCCCGGCCGAGCGGGAACGCCGGGATCGGAGCCGCACCGCCGGAGCACTCTGGGAACACGGGAAACGGGAATGAGCACAGGGCAATGGGACAGAATGGGAACGAGCACATGGGAATGGGACACAACAGGAATGAGTGCACAGGGAATGAGGGACAGAATGGGAATGAGCGCACAGGGAATGGGATAATGGGAATGAGCACACAGGGAATGGGACAGAATGGGAATGAGAACCCAGGGAAGGAATGGGAATGAGCACACAGGCAATGAGCGCACAGGGAATGAGGGACACAGTGGGAATGTGCACACAGGGAATGAGCACACAGGGAATGGGGCAGAATGGGACTGAGCACACGGGGAATGGGACAATGGAAATGAGCACCCAGGGAATGGGAAAGAATGGGAATGAGCGCATGGGAAATGGGACAGAATGGGAATGAGCACCCAGGGAATGGGACAATGGGAATGAGCACACAGGGAATTGGACAGAATGGGAATGAGCACACAGGGAATTGGACAGAATGGGAATGAGCACACAGGGAATGGAACAAAATGGGAATGAGCACACAGGGAATGCTGAGGCCGGCTGGGAGGGGTTTGGGAGAACTACAAAGCTTTGGGCTTTGGGTTGAATCCTGAAGGCAACCACCATGAGCCTGGCATTGAATTATTCATGGAATATTCCAGACCAATTCCGATTTTGTCCAATCCGTCACATTCTACATCCAGGAAAGTTTCCTCAAGGAGGAAATCTGTGGTTGGTAAAGCTCTTCTCAAATGTCCCAAAGTGCCCTTGGGTTGAATCCTGAAGGCACCACMATGAGCTTGGTATCAAATTATTCTTGGAATATTCCAGGCCAATTCCCATTTGTTGGGCATCGAATCATTCATGGACTATTCCAGGCCAATTCCTATTTTTTGGGAATTTGTGTCCAATCTGTCGCATTCCCCATCCAGGATCATGACATGATAAACTTCCCTGCTGTCAGGAGCTGGGGATGCACAATCTGGGATTTATAGGAATGCTATCAAATGGGGCAACACAAGAGAAGCAGTGGAATCCCCCATTTTCACAGGAATTAGGGAAGGGTTCAAATCCCTTGGAAGAGTTAAAGCTGAGGCACACRAGTGAGAGGTTCATCCAGGAAATGTTTCCAGGCAGGACAAGCTCCCAAAGCACCCTGGAAGCTGGGAAATTGCAGGATGGATTTGAGGAGACAGGAGGGAAAAGGAAGGAAAGCATCAGGGCAAGGGAAACACCGGGGCGAGGGAAACACTGGGGCGAGGGAAACACCGGGGAAACACGGGGGAAACCATGAGGACACCCCTGGCTAGAGCAGAGCGCAGCCACCTCTGAGCTTCCTAAAAGTGGGAATTCTAAACTTCCAAGGATCTCTGAAGAGCCAGAGGGCTGAGTGCAGCCTGGCTCCAGGATTTGGGAACAGCAGGGAGGATTCAGGAACAGCAGGGCGGATTTGGGAACAGCAGGGCAGATTCAGGAACAGCTCTACTCTACGTCAAGCGGGCTCAGGGACTCCCTAGGCCCGGCCTAGGCCAGGACTAACCCTGCAGCTGTGTTCCTCTTCCTGCTCGCCCTCCTCGCCAGCCCCCGGCACCTCCGGCGTTCCCGGCTGGCGCAGCCCTCTCCTCCTGCCGGGGCTGGGCCTGCCTCTGCCTGGCTCTGCTCCTGCTTTATTCCTGGATTTGGGAGTGCCTTGCTTGTAGGAAGGGCCCTTCTGCTCCCACTGCAGCACGCAGGAGGCCACAGAGATGCTGCTACAGGAGTTAGAGCGCCTGGGGGCCGGGCTGGGCTCAGCCTCAGCCAGCTCAGCACAGCTCTGGAGAGAAGGGAGAGAGGCAGTGAGACAYGGGAGACACACAGCAATCTGACAGAGACACAGAATCCAGGGATTTCCCATCCCTGAGGATATCAGGAGGTGGGAGAATGGATAAAGAATGAACAGCAAGAGACAGGGATTCAAAGCAAGCTGCTCACACTCTGTGCTTGGGCACTACTAAGGGCTAAAATGTCTGCACTTCAACCTTAAAAATGCTTTTCCCTAAATCCAGGAGTGTTTGGGAGTGACTTACAGGCAATGGAGAGGGAGACACGGATCTCTGGAGAGGCTTCTCCCGGTCCCGCTCCCGGGAAGGCCTCTCCGGCCGCTCGGCCTTGGGCTCGGTGACGATGGCCTTGAGCTGCTTCAGCTTCTCGTCCTTCACCCACAGCTTGTTCTGCATCTCCAGCTGCTTGGCGGCTACACGCCGCTCCTGCCGGGACAGCAGTGGGAAAAGAGGGAATGCTGGAGGTTGGAAAAGCTCTCCAAGCTCACCAAATCCAAGCCAGGACTGAATCCAGCCCAGAGYTCTGAGTGCCACATCCAGGAATTCCTCAGACACCTCCAGGGATGGGGACTCTGAACYTCCCTGGGCAGCCCCTTCCAATCCTAACAGCCCTATCCATGGGGAGATGTTCCCAATATYCAACCTGAGCCTCCCCTRACACAGTCTGAGGCWGTTCCTTCTCATCCTGCTGCTTTTTTCCTTGGATTAGAGCCTGACACCTCCTGGCTGTTCCCTTCCTTCTTTCCTTTCCATTCCCTTCCATTCCACTCCCTTCCATTCTTTTCTTTTTCCCTTCCCTTCCAGCAGCGCTGACCAAGACACTCCACATGGCCAAAGAGCAATTCCCAACCCATGATTCCCCAAACAACAGCGCAACAAAACCCCTCCTTCCAAGCAGCCCACACCCAAACCCCAAATCCTATTTTTCCAAGTTTTCCCCGGATTCCCGGCACTCACACATTCCTTTTCCCACTTGCTGGTGGTCTCGGCCACCATTCCCTGGAGCCGGGCCTCCAGCCGCCTCTTGTCCGACGCCTGCCGCTGCAGCTTCTGGCTCTGGCTCTCCAGCTCCTGCTGCAGGTTCCKCTTGTCCTCCTCGTAAATCGTGGCYGTCCTCTCCAAAATCTCGATCTGTGGGAAGAGGGGAAGGGTTTGGGAATTCCAGACTGGGAATTCCTGATTATATTTCACCAGAAATCCATGGTTTTAATCAGAATCGCCCAGTTTGGTGCTTTCAAAGCCTCACCTTGTAAAAAAAGTGCTTGGCGAAAATTCCCCACAAAGTATTTATTTCTGATGGCAAGAAATTTGCTAAATAATCCATAAAAAATGGGATTTCTACTCCAAAACCACCCCACTGACCTTGTATTCCAAGGTTTTAATCTTCTTCTCCTGGCGTTCCAGCTCTGTCTTCTGCCCTGTTATGGTTTTCTCCTTTTCAGCCAGTTTTCCTTGGATATAGTTTTCTTTGGATGCAACGCTGGATTCAAATTCTTGCAGCATGGTTTTAAAGGCAAGAACTGGAAGAGAATGATGATATTTTAGCTTTCATCTCCCTTATCTCCATCATATCCCAAGTTCTGCTTTTTCCCAACCAACTTAAAGCCTAAAATTGCTCAAAAAAAGGCTGAAATGATTAATCCAGACAAGAAAACCGGGACAGAAGGGTTCCCTTGAGGAGTAAAAATGGCACCAAATCTGAGCTTTGTCCTGATGTTCCAATTTTTGGCAAATTCCTACCATTTTTGGCAAATTCCTCTGCCAGCAGCTGCCTCATGTGGTGGCGCTGCTCCAGGGCCTCGATCAGCTTCGGGAGTGTTTGGTCGTCGTTGATGTCCAGGAGCTCGCAGGAAGGCAGGGGAGGGAGCCTCTGGAAAAACAGCTCCGCTGCCGATTGCTCCTCCGGCTCTGTGGGATGGGAAATGTGTCAGCAGGAGGGGGAAATTCCAATGGATATCAGTCTGGATCCTGGAGCAGGACTGGGAATCATTGATGGGAGCTGGAAGTTTCCCAAGAGGTGCCAGGGTTGGGAAAGGATCCAATGTGACATCCTTGACTTTTTGTTTGACCCTGAAAACGGGTCCTGAATGTACAGGAACATCCCACAATTCCCTTGGCACCATTTCCTGCCAGGAGCTGCAATATTGGGAGCATGGATCYATCCCAATCCCATGGAATTCCTTGGAGATTCTACAGGGACACTGCAGAGTGGGAAGGCTCCCAGGGCCCTGGGGCTGCCTTGGCACTGTGAAGGCTCAGAGTTGGCTTAAAATTGAATTCTCAGCCTTGAATTYCTAACAGAAAACTGCTGGAATCATGGAATTATGGAATGGTTTGGGTTGGAAAGGACACTGAAGTGATCCTGCTCTGTGGGCAGGAACAGCTCCTGCTGTCCCAGGGTCCAACTGGCCTTGGGCACTGCCAGGGATCCAGGAGCAGCCACAGCTTCTCTGGGAATTCCCAATATCCATCTAAATTTCCCCTTTTCCAGTAGGAAGCCATTCCCTGTGTCTGCCCCTCCATSYCTTGTCCCCAKTCCCTCTCCAGCTCTCCTGGAGCCCCTTTAGTCCCTGCAAGGGGCTYTGAGCTCTCYCTGGAGTTTCCCCATTCCAGGTGAACATTCCCAGAGCACAATTCCCCACTCCAGTGCTCACCTCCTCCCACAGGGCCGCCCCTCATCTCGAGTTTCCGGGACAGCTCCTCCCGGAATGCCTGGTTCCGGAAGCGCCGGCCCGGAGTGAGCCCACACAGGGGCCTGTCCACGGGCCTGGCCACCTCCACCTCCTGGGTCATCTCTGCAAAGCGCATCACTTGCTGCAAAAAAACGGGAAAAAACCACCAGGAGCAACTGGATCTGCCTTTGGAAGCAGGGCTTGGGTCACTAAAAATGGGAAAGGGAGAATTTTCTGGCTAAAATCTCAAAGATTTGAGGTTTGGGATCATCCAGAAACCTTCCCAGGAACATCTGCCAAAGGAGGCACAAAACCTCRGGAAGAGACAGCTGGAATTCTTGGAATAGCAGGGATTAAGTACCTCCATATGGCTCTATGGAATTGTGGGAGTAAGGAAAGCATTCCCTGCTTCCAGAACAAGGAACAGAAGTAATTTCAACAGGAAAAATCAGATTTGRAGGGAAGATTTATCTTACAAAATTGTAACGGAGGTGCTCAAACAATTGTTATTCCTTGTATCTTTTGGAGTAGAAGAATTCAGGAAGAAACAGGAAAAAGGAGCAGGAAGGRATGGAAAAAGGGAATTTACCAGGCTTTCCTCATAGTCCTCAGCCTTGGGATTCACACACACAATCATCCGAACCTTCCCTTCTCCGTCAAAATAGTTCTTGAAGAGATGAGTCAGTTTGGAATCTCTGTATGGAACCATCTGGGAACAAAGCCCAGGGAATTTCCAGTGAGTTTGCCTTATCCAGACGATCAAATTAAAGAATAAKTAATTAATTAAGGGATGCCCACCTTGTTTGTCCCATACAATTGGTTTTCCCGGAGAACCTCGATGCATGTCCTCAATGTCATTAATGACTGGTTGATATTCCCTAAAAAGAGCAAAGACACAGAAAAAACTCCATGAGCAGCCCCTTGGAYCACGTTCCCAAATTATTCAGAAGAATAAAGTGCCTAATTAATGATAATTGCTCTGATTAATTGAAGTGCTAGAAATGCCACTGCAAACTGCTTTCCAAAGGGGAAGATTTCAGGTCATCAAATCCTAACTGATCCTAGCAGAGAATTTCAACAGTTCCTGGGATTCTTCCCTAAGAGACAGGATTAGCAGGAGCTTAATTAGCAGATTTAATTAGCAGAGTTAATTAGGCTGCTTCCTACCTGCTTCCCTGAGCCGGTTCCCTTCAGCTTTGGTCCTGTTGGTCCTCTCACTTCCGGCCAGATCCACCAGGGACAGCTGGCTSAGCGTGATCTGCTCCTTTTCCTGGGATCCAGAACAAATCCCATGAGCCTGAATCCCCCAAGATTCCGTCTAATGGGGTAGGGGACACCTTATCCCAAAACCCAATTCCAAAGAATGTGTTAAATGCAAGCTCAGAGGGATTTGTAYAGCACAGGGAGCTGTACTGGCTTCTTTTGGGAAAAGCTGCACCGGCTTTTTTAGGGAAGAGGTGGAGCAGATCCCTCAGGCCACAGGATTGAAAGCAGCTGTATCATTCAAATCCCCAAAATTTTAAGATTCCCAACAAAGGAAAAGGTGAAAACCMAAGGAATCAGCAGTGTTTTAGCACCATTTCCATGCCAGAAAAAAAGTTTGTTCTGTCCCCTCCAAACTCRAGGCCCAGGAGCTGTTTCCAAGGCAACCTCCCCAAAATTCCCATGGGATAATTCCCAGGGAGCCTACCTGGAGCACATTGTCCCCATCCGCATCCAGCGGCGCCTGCGCCAGTTTGATGATGAACACGGAGTGGGAGCGGCTGGATTCCCGGTTCAGCTGCGTGTTGGCGATGCGCCTCTTCTTCTGCCCTGCTCCAACACACCACATTCCCAAAATCCCACCACATTCCCAAAATCCCACCACTTCCCCACATTTCCCACCCATCCCAGCATCAGCGTGTGAGGGATTTCCCGGCTGCTATTCTTGACTCCCTGATATTGGGAAGGGGTGGGAATGGGGAGGCCCCAAACACCCAGGGATGCTGGGGATGCTYCATCCCAAGGCCAGGTTGGATGGAGCCRATCCAGCAGAATTCCCCTYGCTCATGGATAATGTTTAAGGGGCTGGRATGAGGGAGCAGCCCTGGATTCCAAGATTTACCTCTCCAAAAGACCTCAAAAGCTTCCTCGGTGGATTTGACCTCCACCTCCGTGCAGCCTGTGACGTACATGTTGTGGTTCTGGTCTTCACGGAGGATTTTGGACTGGGGAGGTCTTTGGGGTAGCAGGAAAGAGGGAAAACAAATTAATCCCATTAGAATTTCGTGCTGTGAAGATTTTGTTGGAGGTCAAAATTTGGAGGGAAAATGTCAAAATTCTGAGGGAAATGTCAAAAATTCCAGAGAAAAAGGACAAAAATTCTGGGAGAAAAGGACAAAAATTCTGGGAGAAAATGACAAAAATTCTGAGGGAAAAACGTCAAAAATTATGAGGAAAAATGTCAAAAATTCTGGAGGGAAAAGGTCAAAAATTCCAGGGAAGAGGGTCAAAAATTCTGGGGAAAATGCCAAAATTCCAAGTGAAAAGGTCAAAATTTCTGAGGGTAAAGGTCAAAAATTGCGAGGGTAAAGGTCAAAAAGTCCAAGGGAAAAGTCAAAATTCTGAGAGGAAAAGGGCAAAGTTCAGGGGAAAAAGGTCCAGATTCTGGGGGAAAMGTTCAATTCTCCATATAAAAGCTGGAAGAGGGAACACAAACAYGGACACACAGGCAGGATTAGTGACACTCCAGCTCCCGCTCTAATTAGCAGCCATTTAATTGCAATTAATTGCTTTGGTGGTGGCAGCTATTGCTTTCTACAAGCACACAGAAGCAAGGACAGCATCCTACATTTACTAGGAAAAGCAAGGAAAACGGAATTTTCTGCTTCTACTCAAGGAAAAGGCTACTGGAATATTGGGAATAACATGMTGGACATACACAAAGTCTCCATTTCTCACTGGGGTGTTGCAACTGTTCCACCTACCAAAAAAACGGGGAAAAACATTAAATCCTYGATTTCTGCCCCAAATCTTCCCATCTCTCAAACACCGCAGCTTCCGAAGGAAGAAATCATCCAAGATTTTTCCTGGAATGGGTTTTGGGAATAAGCACCAAACCATTTAGCAGCCACTTAATGAACATAGGACTGATGGATTCCTCTAATGGGTTGGAATTTCAATAAATGGATCAAAAGTCAAATTCACAGATTTTTCCCACTAATTTTAGGCATAACGAGTGCACATCTTTGGAAAAATATCCCTAATTTCATGGAAGAGAAAAATAATCTCTGGGTTTATGGGAATTACAGATATCAGGAATGATATGGAAATATAGAGCACTAAAACAGTGTTTTTCACTGTTTGTGGGGAAAAAAGCTCTGGAATGGCTTAGTCTAAGTTGGAATCACCTGTTGGAACAGCAGGAATAGATTGGGAATTTCAATGGATACAACTGCCTAATTAATTAAAGATTTGCTTATTAATCACCCATCCTAAYGAGGAAGGGAGTGCCAAGTCTTGGTCACCACCACTGAAATATTCCTGTCTGGAATATTCCTTTCCATGTGTTTTTAACAGTGATTCCCAGGAATTTGGAGCCAGGATCATTAAGATTACAGCCAAAAATCCATAGTGGAGATTCTACAGAAGGGTCTGGGAAAAAACCTGGATTGGGAATATGGGAATTCCCAAACTCCCTTGGGTTTGATGGATTCAAAGGGAGGTCACAGATATCAATGTGGGACAATGCAGAATTGTCCTCATCCACCCCTTCCACTGACGAATGGAAAATCCCAGATTCCCAACTCCCTTGGATTTGATTGGTTCCAGAGGAGCCTCCTCCAGCATGTCATAGATGATGGTATGGATTGCCCTCATCCCCCTATTGCAGTGGTTTGGTGCTGATTCCCTAATCCCATTCTGTGGAAAATCCCGGATTCCCAAATCCYGGATTCTGACTCACTTGGGTTTGATGGATTCCAGAGGTGTCTCCTCCAGCAGGTCGTAGATGTAGTTGTTGTAGATCTCGATGTAGGACACGAAGACGCCGTAGACATTGTCCTCATCCACATCCTCCACCCGGCAGTGATCCTGCACGTTGATCATGTCAGCAAATTCCGGATCCAGCTGTCTCCTGCAGGAAACACAATGGGATCAGGCTGGAATTCCCGGGAGCTGGCACGTGCTGGGGTGGCTCAGCGCGGATCTGCAGGGGTGGGGTGGGGAAATGCCCAAAATTCGGAAAAATTCAGGGGTTTGGGRTGTCCTRTGCAGGGCCAGGARTTGAAATTCCATCATCCAACTGAGGAAATTCCACAGCTGGAATTCCATGATCCAACTGAGGAAATTCTATGGAAATTCTTACTCAAAGCCACAGCATTCTAGTCCCAGTTTAATGGGTAGAAAAAGTTGGCTGATTCTAATTCTGCTCACCTAAATAACTGCTCAAACCACATGGAATGCACTCAATTCCCATTAATATTTTATTAATTATCATTAATATCCCTGCCAATTGCAGGGTTTGGAATGCAATCAATTTTAATGTCCCTTTCAATTGCAATTTTTTTTCATTTCTTAAAGGGAGGAGGCCAAAAGAAATCAAAACCACCCTAAAAGAATCACATTGATAATAAATAAATAAATCAATATGTACCAAAAATAGGCTGATCCTAATTCTGCTTATCTAAACTATTCAAACCACATAGGATAYACTCATTTTCCATTAACATTATTATTATAAATATCCCTGACCATGGGACAAAATYGACTTTAAGGTTCCTTTCARTTGGGAATTTCCAAKTTTTTTTTCATTTCTTCAAGAGARGAGYSCAAAAGGAATCAAAMCCCCCCTAAAGAGTCTCATTTCCAYGGAATGAATTCCCTCTGCCTTTTCCTGGAGTCACTCACTTCCCAGCTGGAGTTTTTGGGACAGGCAGGGCCTCTCTCCTCTGGCGCTCCAGCAGAGCCTCTACCTCGCTCTGCACATCCACCCCGTTCTTGTCATCCARCTTGAAAACCTGCAGGGAAAATCCAGGAATTCCAGCCAGTTCAGACATTCTGTGCTGGCCAGTCAACCATGATTTGATAAGGTAATTAACTACCCTGATTAGGCTGGTATTAATTAATACTGCCACTCAACCCACCCAGATCCGACAGAAACTATTCCCGAAAAAATACATGATTAAAACTCCAAACGAGAATTCTAGGATTATTTCGATATATTTAGATACCGAAAATTCCGAGGAATTTTAGGAAAAGCCTCCCAATCTCTGTTATTTGGCGACAAGGTGGTGATCAAAGGTTGGACTCAAACCTGGAGGTCTTTCCCAACTTTAATGATCCTGTGATTTTGGAGATGGATTCCTGTGGCTTTTGGATTTTGTGGAGCTCATTCCAGAACTCAGGAMGTTTTCTATTTAATTATTTTTAATTTAAGAATGAACAGCTATTTAAGGACAACCAGAGCACAGATCATCCTTGGCCCTGCTCCTCACATCCCAAGGGGTTGGGTTATTTCTCTCCCAAGCCCTCCAGTCCCAGGCCAGGTTTGTTTGGAGCAGACCCCATTCCCCAGGGATTTCTGGGAATGCTGTGGGGAAGATCCAGGGGAGCCACTCACGAATCTCTTGGCCTGGAAGGGCCCGATGCTGTTGAAGATCATGGCCAGGCAGCGGGGCAGGAGGCCCCCATCCCCTGGGGAGCCCGTCATGGTGTGGGTCTTCCCACTGCCCGTCACTCCGTAGGTGAACAGGAGACCTGGGAAGGGCAGGGAAAGGGGTTCAGCAACGGGATTGGGGAAAAAACAATGGTTCTGATGGTCCCGGCAATCCAAGGTGCTTGCAGCCCTCGCTGATCATCACAAAAACTGGGAATATCCCTCATCATTCTCCAAGATCCACCTRGAAGCCAAAAATCAGCCCTGGCACAGGTTGTGCCATCCYTGSAATATTCCAGGCCAGGCTGGATSGGATTTGGAGCAACTTGGGATAGYGGAAGGCRYCCCTGCCCMTGGGACTGRATCATCCCTTCCCACCCCAACCATTYCCRGATTCCATGACCTATTCCACAAATTCCTGTTCCATAAATAGGTTTAAGAGTTTCCATTGTATGAGGAACTGAGGCACAATTCCAAGCAAACAAGGTAAGAAACCTTGGGAGCCATGAAATCCTGGGAATGGGAGACACTTGAGGGACAGGGAAGGGACACAGGACAAAACTTTTCTCACCATTTTTGCCRCGGATCAGATCCTCCACCAGAGGTTTGGCCACCACGTCAAAGAGCTCCTTCTGCACCACCTGGGTGCCAAACACCTCCTTGAAGGAATACTGGGTCTGCCAAGACARGGAAAACCATCCTGGACCTCCRGCTGCCCGGCCAGGATCATCCACARGGATCCCATGGAACAGGGAAYTCCCAATATACAACTTTGAACTCAGATTTCCTTTGAGTCCCCACCATAATCCACACAAACACTGAGCAAAGGAGCATCCGCCATGGCCAAAGGGGAGCTGTTCCTTCATTTAATTTTATTTAGACAGATTTTAAGTCTTCTCATCTAAATAGTTGCTTAGATCACATGGAACACATTCATTTTCCAGTCCTAAATTTCCATCTGCTTTAAAAAAAAAACTAACCTGGTCATTTTTCCACCATAACACTTGCTTAGGCAAACATCTGAATTTTAAGTTTCTGAAGAACTTCATTTACTAAAATKTAAYTAAACTTTTCCTGTTTTATTTAAAMCTTAATGCACTTCCCATGTGAATTTTCCAGGCTGAAATTGGAAAATAAATATTCTGCACCCCAGCTAACATTCCTRCACAAAGTTGTGGATTCYTCATCCCTGGAAGTGTCCAAGGCCAGKTTAGAGCACCCTGGGATAGGGGAAGGTGTCCCTGCTGTGGAATGGGATCAGCTTTTAGGTCACTTCCGCRTATTTTATGTTTAGGGAAGTGATTTTTTTTAACCATAGATCTTTTTAGGGGTTGAAAACATTCTGATTTTGCACTKTGCAAGTCCCACAAACCAGGGGGAAATGTGGAAAACAGGGAAAAAGGGCTGGATGCCTGGAATTCCAGAATGGTTGGGGCAGRAAGAGACCTTGAAGATGATGGACAGGGACACCTCCCACTAAGCCAGGTTTCTCCAATAACTTCCTTGAACACCTCCAAGGATGGGGCACTGATTCCAGGCGAATTGCCGACTGGAATGCAGCCCATGCCACGATCCCGACCCCTCACCTCGCGGTACTCGCCATTGCGGAACACCCGGTAGCCCTCGGGCGGGTGGATCTGCACCGTGGTCTCGTTGATCACCTCGATGCAGCATTCCTGGTCCGCGCGGCTCAGCGGCCGCACCCGGCAGTAAACCTGGAATGGGAATGGTGGGAATCAGGGGGGATCGGGGTGAATCGCCCAGCACCCGGCAATAAACCTGGAATGGGAATGCTGGGAATCAGGGGG